GTAATCTAATGGGGTTTATTTTTTTTAGAAATTTACTGATTTGTGAGTGTTTATTATTGGTCTTGTGTTTTCTAGTACCTGAACAACCAACTTTTCTCAAGGTCATCAAAGTTGATAAAGACACTGCCACTTTATCTTGGGGACTACCTAAGAAATTAAATGGAAACTTAACTGGCTACCTATTACAATACCAGATAAGTAAGTACAAATTTGAATTGGAGGTACCTATTCACTTTCATGTTTTGGTTGAGTGTTTGGTTTTGCTGTGTTGAAAGTCTAATGATCACTGAAGTTCATGGTTTGTAGGCTGGCATCCTTCCTTATGTCACAGGGGTCTGTAAACTGGCTTGCAGGCCAAATCCAGCCTGCTGTGTGTTTTCATAAATAAAGCTTTACTGGACTATGGCTATGTCCATTTGTTTACATATTGTCTATAGCTGCTTTCTCATTAGACTGGCAAAGTTGAGTCATTGCAACATGCCCTGCAAAAGCTAAAATATTTACAATCTAGCCCTTTTACAGAAAAGTTTACCAACCTGTTTTAGCAAAAAAAGCAATGTGACAATGTGTACCACAAAACGTGTTTACATATAAGAAGTTTTGAGAATTAAGAAACATGCCAAAGAGCAGAGGTAGTAAGTGATGTGATGGAAATTCAGAGCACCTGTAAATGCCACACTACACTCTCTCTTCCACTTCAGATATAGGCTTCCAGACTCAATCCTAAATATAGACTCCTACTTGTATTTATCGAATCCTCTATTTGTAGCCCGCTGGTTCGGAGAGATATTGAGAGGACTAAAGAGCTGTCTTTGAACCATGTCTCAGAATAGGTTCTGCCCAGATGCTGCTGTGCCTTTAGAGTAAAAACAGTGTGTTTAGATGAAATCAGGTCATTTTAAATCAAAACGCCTCCCATCTCTAACAGTCTTCAAGTCCAAGCATCATCTCAAAATGGAAGTTAGGGGACTGACATCATAGAAAACCTTAGCAACAGTCCCACCTTAAAGATTTTAGACTCTGAGCACGTGAATTTCCCAAACACTTGAACTACAGAGACCCAGTCTGCACTGCTTACAAAAGTCAACTCAGGCAGGGCGCGGTGGCTCACGCCTGTAATCCTAGCACTCTGGGAGGC